AGCTCCCCCATATACTGTACGTGTGATGGGAGACTTCTCCAATGGTGAGAGAGAGGCTGCTTCCAAGGGCTTGGTTATCATGTGAGTACCACTCCTAACTCTGCCCACTGGGCTGGTTCTTCAGGCTTAAACTGTCCAAAGCCTTTTTTTGGGAGCAAAGGTAGGCCCAGCTCTGGCTTCTTTCCTTTCTTCCCTCCCTCTTCCCCCAGGCTGAGGAACTTGAGAGAAGGCTGTGTGTGCAGGAGGACTGGAGAGGATGCTTGCTTCCTTGGGGCTGGATTGCACCTGGTGGGAGGAAAAATCCAGGAGCCTCTGAAGGAGGAGAGGGTACACAGGCAAATAATCTGTAGAACAGAGGAGAGTGAGAGAAGAAGGAAACTGGGATTAGGAGATAACCTCACCTCTTGGCCTCCCTTGGTGGTTTCATCTCCCTCATTTCTCAAATTCCACTTGACTTCTACTGAAGGATTAGCCAATCCCCCCTCATCTCCTGCCTCTAGCTCTTCTGAGGAATAAACCCTGAGTGCATAGTAGCAGTGGAGGTCTGAGTAAGGACGGTGATGAACTTGCAGCTCCCTGGGCATTGTGAGTTACTCACTGCTTGTGAATCATTCTGGATGTTTAGGGCCTTCTTCACTGGAAGAGCTTTGCACCTGTATTTCCTGCACATGGGGTGGGGGGGGGTGTGCTCTGGCCAGTGAGCCAGTACAGTGCAGCACGTCCTAAGTGTTTCTCCTTTTAATGTTGGTTTACACTGGCTGGGGACTGGAGTACCCATTTTACCTGTTCATCAGGGGTCTGAAACGACAGAGATTTTCTTCCTTGCTCTCTGCCTTATTGGTTGTCCTTTATATTGTCCCTAAGTTACTTTTCCTTGCTTTTTAGCAGAGCAGAAGGCAGTATATATTTGTGATAAATAAATCTTCCTGAGTGGGGTCTCACGAGAGCAGAGGGGAAGAATCATCTGCTGGCCACACTCCTTTTGATGCAGCCCAGGATTCAATTGGCTTTCTGGGCTGCTAGCACACTCTGCATCTCATGGTGAGCTTCTCAGCCAAATAGAGAAGAATTTCCTGCAGCGTTGGAGAGATTGTTTTGGTGCATATGCACTATTTGTTATATTTGTACCAAGTATGCACTAAGACACAAGAGAGTGAAAAATTCTCAAGATTTTACAGCTTTAATTACTTAGCATGTTATAATTAAAAGTTAATTACTTTGTGAATTATAATATATTGAAATAATAATTGTGTACCAAACATCTTTTGACAATTTGTATGCTGAGTGGAATTCAGTTGTATGAGAAATGTAACATTTTTGCTGCAAACTGAGTTTGCATTGCAAGCAGTCTCTCAATTTGCTATCTGGTGAACTTGAGCAGGAGAGTTTAGTCCTCATTACTGCACTGAGCATCCTCTGCCCTCCCCTGTGCTGTTTCTTGCTGCAGCAGCTCCCCTTGGACCCTAACACAGAGCCTTCCTCTGTCCCACGTTGATCTTTGATGCACACACCTGTAATACACACGTGTGATTGTAGCTGGTTGAGAGAGAAATTAATTCTGTTTAGAATGGTACTTAAAAATACTGTATTGCTTTTAAAATCATTCTTTAAATGGAAGGTAACAGAGCTCTTTTGTTGTTGTATGGAAGAGCCATTCAAAAGATGAAGCCAACTGATAACATCAGCAAACAGTAAGCTATTTACATGCTGTGCTATATGTAAAGTGAAGAGGAAGAGGTGTTTGTGGGCTCTTTTAGATGTTTGTAATGTAGCTATAAGGTAGATTGGTTTAGAATTGTTTCCACAAATCATTTTAAGTCATAATACTTGTAAAATTATTTCTTTCCTTGCCACATGTACGTTGTATTTTACACAGAGAAAAGGAAAGTACTTAGTCAAATTACTTGTTATCTCGCAATTGGGTTTTTTGTGTGGTTTTGTTTGTTTGTTAGTTTTTAATTCAGACAGTACAAATGTTTTTTTCCGTTGCTCAGGCTGAGGATAACCTGGATGAGTAACTGGATTTTGGAAAGGAACATGTATATTTTCGATACTAGCAGTAGATGGCTCTCTTTTATGGTTTTATATGTTCTTAATTTAACCTACATGCAATGCTTGTGCATTATAGTTTTTTGTGGAAACTCCCTATATCTTGAGTGCAGACATTGTTTCCTCTATCTGTAGCTGTTAGAGCTCCCAAATGTGGATCACATGGATAGTTTGATATGCTTTTAAGAAGGTACTTTATCTGTAAAATAGACTGGAAGGATTTTCTGCATTGTTTGCTGATGAAGGAATGCTTTGTCTTGTGGTCTAGTTTTCGTCACAGGACAAATTAATAATGTGAGTTGTTTATGCTATTCTTCCTTGTCTTACTGTTTTCTTTGGCTTTACAGTTTTGTGCCAACTTAAAATGGCTTTTTAATAACTATCCTTTCTTTGTTGAAGAAATGGCCTTCATATTGTTCTTTATCTAAGCTATATTTGTAGGGCTTCTTGAGGTTTAATAATTATGTTCTATAGTGCCTTAATGAAAGGCTCTTTACAAATGAAAATGATCCTCTCCACATCATGTAATTGAAGATTTCAACCTCAGATTGTAGGTAGCATGGGCTTCCAAATATGTATGAAAAATTTCATTTCTTTAATCTATTTCATCATACATTTTATTCTTAACACACTTTCATAGTGGGTGGTATAAGTGTATTCTGTGGTTTGCAAACTATAGAATATTGCTGTTCCTTGCTCCAAGCATCATTAAAAAAACCCAAACAAGGGGGTTTGGGGTTTTAGATAGTTGAAATTTGACTGCTTTCATCTTATCTTTTCTGATTAATGTATAACAATATTCATTAGAAATGGAAAGAAAGAAAGATTCTGTATAAGAGTATGTTTTAATGAGAAAGAAATGGGAGGGTGATTTTCCTTTCTAAAGAATGTGGGTAGAAAGGTAGGTTGGGGCAAGATGCATAGTAGAAGAAAGTAGTGAAAAGAAGCAGACTGCAGAGAAGAGCTGGTGATGAAATAGGTGAGGTTTGGAAAAAGTATAGAAGAGGGACTCAGAGAGGTGGGAAGTTAAAAGTAAAAAGCACAAACTTGAAGTGTAAAACCAGCACACACAGGTTTTAAATGTGGATATTGCATCATCAAGTAGAAAGAGAATAAAGACTGTAGCAAACTAAATCAGAGGGGAGTGACTTGGGATTCCAGAGGCTGGAAGACTGTTTCATTTTTGCATCCAAGTAGGGGCAAGAAGTGAACTGTGGGGTTTTTCTGTGCCGTTACAGAAGAGGTTGCGCTTGAGCTTTGTGCATTTGTTCTGTAGAGAGAAGACTGAAAGAGGCAGAGCTTGCATGTTCATGCCTGCCTGGACACTGATGGCACTGACTAGACAGCAGGGGGGGAAAAGGAGGGGGAAAGGCAGGGAAGCAGCTGCCTGCTTTCAGTGGTCTTTGAATGATGTTATCTGATAGACCGTGAGCTCTGAGCACATGGCTGAAAGGTGTTCTTCCTGGAGACAGCCACAGAAATTGTAACAGCAGGGTGAGATACCTGGCCACGAGGTAACAGGGACAGGAGGGCTGAGAATGATACGAAGAGTATGCAAGAATTTCCTTTTTTCACTCTTTGTGTAGAGGGTAATATAATGCAATACTTAATAGTACAAGTGATTTGTAATAAAATTAAGAAGAGAGTTTAAAAATTAAAAGGTAGTGGCTTGCTGTTGACATTGATGGATAACTGGTAGCAGTATTGGATGAGGTGGAAAAAATTAAGTCATAAATAAATTACTGCAAGTTGTAGTAGTAGAAGAGATCCTTCATAGATACGGAAGAGACAAAAGTACATTCCAGATAACCAGAAGATTGTAAGAGGACATCTGGCATTGTAGAAAGTCAATGACCATGGACAGAACCCCAGGAAGGTAACACACAGTTTTCAGGGACATATATAAAAGTTCCTGGCATGGAGGTTAGGGGAAGTGCCTGATGTTACGGCCTGATATGCTGAAGGAGCTCCACCAAAGACAACAGGTTCAACATCAGAGCGGAGACTGAAGGAGACATGATTGAACAAAGACTGAAATTTTGTGGTAAAATATCTCAGGGAAGGGCAACAGGAAAGTCAGGTCAAAGGCATGAATCAGTGAGAGAAAGTAATCTGGACAAGAGATGTAGGAGGTCTGAGCTGCCAAAAGATATTGGAGATAGAGCAGGGGATTGATAAAAATCGAAAGGTGTGTGATGTAATCACAGGAGCCTGCAGGATCCAGTCTGAAGTGGATAGAGTAGGAGTTTTATACTAGACCAGAAGGACATAGTAAAGGTTCCAAGTAATAGCAGCAAAAATGCTGGTAAGATCAAAGGGCTAAAACCCATTGGGGCAGGAGTTGGAGACAGCAAGACTACACTTATCTTTCATGGTAGAGGTTGGGCTGCTGAAATGTGAGGATGCTGCCAGATGCGAATGAGTTACTGGGAGGAGAAAAGGAAGAGGGTGTTAGATGATGAAACGGTGGGTGGGGAAGGACCACATTTTATCTGCTTGAAAGGAGGAAAAGAAAAGGTGCAGAGATCTCATTGCCACAACAATAAATCACTGAAAAACTAGCAGAGGGAGGAGGTGGGAAAGAAACTCAGTGGAGGTCTTTGAGTGAGAGTTAGGAGGTGGTGGAGATGGAATAAGGTGACCATACTTTGCTGTAAATTTTGGGTAGAGCAGGATTTGGGGAGGGAACGAGCTAATTTTCTTCTTCCCCATCTGAAAATCCTCTCATCAAGCCATGGAGAAGAATGTGGGAGTGGCAGGGGAGAAAAAGTAAATCTTGAAGCAGCGTGATCTGAGCATGCACTAAAAAACACACAGAGAAGAGAAAAACCAGAAGCTCTTAAATGCCTAGACTGTAAGGAACATAGTGGAAGAAAGGAGGGAGATTTTTGTAAAAAATAAATAAATAAATAGAGCATCCTGCAAAGTAACCTACTTTGGGTTTGAAGTGATCATTTATCTGAGTGCCTAGGTGGAGCCACTGGCATTGCAGCAATTTAACTGTGCTCAGAAAGGGATGGGAAAAAATCCTGATGTCTGCATAGACAAGAAGGAGTTAATGCTTGTCGAGCATTATTCTTATACAAATTAAGTCCAGAGCACAGCAGCAGCCTCACCAGCAGGAGCAGATGCTAGGCAGTGATGCAACCTGTGTTATTTACTTAGGCCTCTGTAGTGACCTCAGTGGCTTGCAGACAAAGGACACACATATCTGGAGGTAGGTAGCATGCTGATACCTTCTTTATTCACTTCTTTTTCTTTTACTGCAAACAAGCTCCTGTAATCATCTTGTGTGGAGCAACAGGGGGACGGTGCATTTTTAGCATGGTTTCAGGCAGAGGGGGGAAAAAAGCCTCCAAAGAAGTGACTGAGCTTTGGTGTCTGGTTTTGTACCAATACAACCAGGAACGTTTAGAAGCCATGATGCGTCGGTCCCTCGAACGCAGCCAGCAGCTGGAACAGAAGCAGAAGCGATGGTCGTGGGGAGGAGCACTGGCTGCAGGCTCAGGAGGCAGAGATGGTAAGTGAAACAGGCTGCCTGCATTGCAGATCTGCAAGTGGAAAATGCATGAGATTGTGGAGATAGTAAGTATGATGATTTTATAGTTAGGGTGGTACTGTAGGGGCTACTGCCTTGGGGCGTGAGTAAGTGCTTTGTAATTGCTTGTCAGGCTTCCTCTAATACCTTCTGGGGAGAAAGGTTCCTCCTAACTTTAGAAATGCAGATCATTTTAATAGAGTAACCAGAATCTGTTTGGAGGATGCTAAATGCTAAAATTAAAATTGATGCACTGTGTCCCTTATTATCTTCCTCTACATGGTCTTCCCCCACATACAGTTAGTGAATTTAATATTCACCAAAGGATTGAGTGCTGTCTAAGCCTTGCAAAAGATGATCTTGTTTTGTTTGGTACTTCTAAAAACCTGATGGGAATTTCTAGATGATTATGCAGCATGTGCAGTTTAAAATAGTTTGTTTTTTTCCCCACATACATTCTGTTACTGCTATTTTTGCTTTGGCTTTAGAGCATATTCTTTTTATTACATAATCAGTCATGTGCTGCTTTTATATTTCAAAAAGATGCATGTTTTCTCTTTTAAATCATGCAATTTATTTAATTTTGTCAGGTTTGAATAAACTGATGTTATAGGGAAAAATATCCATGTTTGGGTGATGATGAAATGTGACAGTTACTCTCTTTTAAACTGTGTGTAAATATACTTAACTTTAAAAAGGCAAACTCTGTTTCACATCATAGTTTTCATGGTATGCCATTAAAAAAGTCAGGAAATGAAATATACATTATACTAAAAGAAGTCTCTTATACTTTGAGGAAGAAAACAGTTTTTCTTTGTGATGCAGTTTATGCTTAATTCCAGCTCCCCCAACTTGTTCAGTAATTTCTTTCACCTCTTTTTGCTCTGATTTCTCTGCTGTGTAGGTGAATCAGAAAATACCCCACCCCCTGTTCTAGGTTTAGCTGCCAACACCCTTCCTCCAGACCCTGTGACCTCTACTGCTCCTGCTGATTCCTTCAATGGTATTTCAGAGACTCAAAGTACCATCATGTCTCGTTTATAACTGTTCTAATCACTGTAATCCATCCACTGATCGTGTCCTTCCTAACCACTGTTTCCTTATTATTTCAGTCTGGTACTCTATGGCATTACCCGTAGCAATGTAGACCAATGTCTTTTTAATTTCCTTTTAATTTTGCCATGGTGGAGCAGTGCATGCCTCACATTCCAGCACAGTAGAGGCATTTCATGGTTTTCTCAGTAGCTACAGACTTCCACTGCTCAGATCCTCATCTCTGTTGATTCAGGGGGTGCTCTGTGTTTGTGTGTGTGTATAACTGCACATCTATTTGACAGTTCTAATGGACGTGCACACGTGCTGTTGAAAAAAATTTCAGTTGCACAGTAAGAAAAAATGTGTTCTGAAGACCATGTTTGATCAAAACAGTCCTCTTTTTCCATCTCAAGGGCCTTTTTCTCCTGTATTTTAAGAACAAGTAAATTTGGTATAAACAGCCATGTTATGTTTTCAGCCTCCTGAAATGAATTTTGGCCTAGCTGGTATTTGTAACAAACTCAAGTAGCTGACTTCATTTAAGCAACATTTTGTTTTCTTTTGTATCGTTCAGTTGTCTTTTTTGTGGGTTGTTTTTTTTTAAAATATTTTTCCCATAAAAAACTGTGAAGTAGATGAGTCCTCCAAAATTACAAATGGATTGCATATTGGATTTTTAATCTTGACTGCAAATGTGCTTGGCATTTTGAAAACAAAACACAGCCTGTGCTTCTGAGAACTAGATTCCATCTCTCCCTCCAAAAGGAGGAGCTAGGCTTGGCTATTACTACTGCAGAATGCACAGTAGATGTTATTCTGCCCATGATCTCACAGAAGTATTATTTCTGTGCAAACAGATTCAAATTTTTGTACTAATTGTTGTTCCCGTGCAAAGATATTTGGCTGTGCAACTGATATTTTGCGCATAGCAGCGTTATATGTGCTTTTTTAAAAAAGCAAATGTAGCAAATTGTATTGTTTACTGTAGTAGATGAAGCCAAATCTTGCTAACCCCACTGAGGTGATGATTTGATGGATATAATAGGGATAGCAGTAACTTAGGAGCTGTAGAATTAGGGCCACATACATATCTCTAGCTGAAATTTATTTTTTTTTTGAAAGAAAATTGAAATTTAGGGGACAAAGCATCTCTGGTTTTAGCTTCTGAGTATCATGCAGTGATACTAGTACACTGTAGTAATACTGGAGTGACATTTTTCTTTCATTCAGTTGAATACATGCCAAGGTAGGAAATGGGTATTGTGCTCAAATAGACTTTGTCAAACCATATTTCAGAAGAAAAATGTACCAAAAAGCTGCCTTTTCTAATCTTCTCAAGCACAGAAAGATAAAGCTGAATGGCTGGTGCCAGATCAGTCATCAAAACAGTGAGGTCTCGTCATGCAAGTGCACAAATGTTGGTTATTTCATTTTCCTATTAGAATAATACCTGAGGTCTATCCCAGCTCTTCCAGACTGAAAGTAGAGGGAAGGGGCAATGGAGATGAATTTAGAGTTGTCATGTGTGCAGTTGTTTTCTTTGGGTAACTTTATGTGAATGGCTGGTGCCAGATCAGTCATCAAAACAGTGAGGTCTCGTCATGCAAGTGCACAAATGTTGGTTATTTCATTTTCCTATTAGAATAATACCTGAGGTCTATCCCAGCTCTTCCAGACTGAAAGTAGAGGGAAGGGGCAATGGAGATGAATTTAGAGTTGTCATGTGTGCAGTTGTTTTCTTTGGGTAACTTTATGCTTCTGCTGGTGTGGTGTTTCTTCTGCTGGTGTTGAATATCTTGTATCAGAATAGCTTCATTCATTCAGACCTGATACCATTATTTGCCAGTGGCAGTATAAAAAATAGGCTGTTGTAAAACTGGAATGTTAAACTCACAAGCAGAAAAGTTGCATCCCAAAGCATGTGTCATAGAATGCTGGTCCTCCAGCAGTCAGAGAGAGTTCTCTCATGCCTTATTCAGTGCTATGATCAGTGGCAAGGGCCACAAGTACAATGCAAGGTTAATTTGGGGAGTTTATCAACACCATGATGTGAATACAAATATCTTCAATGCGTTTCTCTGCAGCATGTGACAAACTTTCAGCTTCTACAATGAATCTGCCAAAGCAAATGGAATCTCCAATCAGTAAGCGTCTCTCCTCCTCCACCGCGGCCATAACACATTCCCCCGACAGAGGCAAGTGAACCTGCTGGGCTGCTGCCAGCATCAGCTCCTTCTGCTTAAAGCACTGCTTGTCCCTATAGCTGTGTGATTTGCTTTTGTCTGCTACTCAAAAGAACTCAAGGGTTTGAGGGATTTTAAATTAATACAGTAAAATAGTTCTGCAGCCTGTCCCAAGCTGTCCTGCCATGCTGTAGTCCAGCAACAAATGCTGTGTTTTTCTGATTCTTTTTCAGTTTTTGATACTTCAGCAAGCAGGGTTGTAAGTTCATGCTGCAACTGCAGCAATTTCCTCTAACTGTACCACTTGTGATCTTCTAGCCAAATAGGGAAAAACAAGCAGACCAAATGTGTGGCTTGGCAATAGCTAAGGGATGTACTGTGACCAGGAGTACATCTGATGAGCCACCTGGGAGGCCTCAATCCAGTGACCAGAGTTGTAGAGCCCTTTAATTTGTTACAAAACTCTGATCCACAAGAGACTCAGCAAAAGATGATCATCTTGTAGGATTAGTGGTACTAAACCCTACAGAGAGGACTGAAGGGTTTATCTCCCTGTGAACTCTTTGGAATTTTTAGGTTTGCTTTGTGCTTCTTTATTTCCTTCTCCCTCCATAATTTTTAAACTCTAGTGAGGCAAAATGTATTTACTGAAACAACTGACTATGAAGGCTTGTTTCTAAAATGGAAACAGAGGGTAAATTTATTTAAATTTCTGAATTGCTTCATGAAAACTCATTGGTAGCTTTGAGGTTGTTATGATAGATGGCTATATATACATGTAATAGGAACATCTAAAAATATGTCTTATATAGTTGACACTTGTATTTATAGAGTAGGAAGGAGTGCAGACATATTGTATAAATAAGACTTACATAACATGGTGAGATGGCAGATTTTAAATGCAGTCCCAGGATGGCTGGCACATCAGTGAGCAGCTGCACTGTTATCCCAAAGCTCTTACCTTTTCTGTTGGGGAAGAAGGCAAACCTTTTTCATGCTGAGTCATGAAAGCAACCATTTTGCAGAATAGAACATGCCTCTGAGTGAGAACATGGCCTTAACCTTATTGTACTTACTGTACAGATAGGAAAGGAATTTAACACTATGGAGAAACTAGCAAGCTTTTTTCAGAGGGAAAGAAAATTATCTTCAAATATTTTGATCTCAAACAATTCTAGGGTGGGGTTTTTTTTTCATTTCATTTAATCATTTCATCATTTTGTTTCTGTTATTTTAATGTAACATTGGTTTATTTCTTTGCATTTTAAATTTTATTTTATTTGCTCCCATCCTTCAGCTCACCGCATGCATCTTAGTCCAATGGAAAACTTTCTTGTTTCTCGACTGCTGACTCCCACACAGTCATCTTTAGCCAGAAGCAGGAGTACATTAATGCTTTCTGAGCAGTACAATACTCCAGGTAAAGATGTGACTTACTTTGAAACCATTGAGGTATGTTTTTGGCTGCATTTGCAGAGCGGCTGAAAGAAATGGAGAACTATGAACCAAACGACAATTTACATGATAGTAGAGTATCAGCAATGAACTAAGTTGTTCCTGATAGCAGTGTATTTAAAATCCTGGAAAAACACATCATCTTGTCTGTCATGTTCTGAAGGTCTATTTTAGGGGGAAACAATAATGAAATCATTAAAAATAAAGCTAATGGAAAACCTGAATATATTCACCTAAGAAACAGGTGTTTAGATAAGGGCATGACACCTCTCAGAGGCTTCGTTTGATTTATTAATGTCATCCCCATCATACTCAAATAATATGTAGAACAAAATCCCAGTGCACCATTTGAGCCTTAATTATTTTACCAGGATTCCAATTCTGAGCTGTTAAATATCTTCATACCTTTAAGTGTGTAACTGTGTATTTTTATCTATGTAGGTGTATATACACATATAAAATGATACATACTCAGAGGAATAAAACAGATACTGATACCAAGGTGTCTGTTTTAGAAGTTATTGATCTTTAAGGGATGATAGTTACTGTTCCTATCTGCAAATGGTAGCCTGATAAAGCCATTATTTTGCAAACATCTACAAAACTAATGTTTCCAGTCCTGCTAATACTTAGGCAAGTGCATGACTTCCAGAGCAGTTTCTACTTACAAAGCTCTACCTGGTCATAGCATTGGCTGAGACAAGGCAAAAGTTTAGCAGCCATTTTTACTTTTAATCAACCAAACAAAAAAATCACCCCAGAGCCCACACCTAAACACCTGTCTGCAATAGAAAACAATTTTTTCAGGATTAAATTATTTAGATGATAAAAGACTGATCATCTTCATGATGAGTATTTTCATACACCTTGGTTAAAATAGGCTTAGGTCCTGCATCTCTGCTTTTAATATAAAGCTTGTGTGTTACTTCTTTGTTCAGTGCATAGGGACATTGATATCAAGTGGCTCTAAAATGCTTCCCTTGTTTCTACATTGATAGCAGCCTCTGCTGGAAGCACAAGTGTTGTCATATAGTATTTGGTCTATGAGAAAATTCCCAGTTTTCTTACTGCTCAGGGATCAGCTACTGCTGAGAGTGAGCAAAACCAACTCAAAATTAGATCAATATATTCTGCTTAAGATTTTGAGGTGAATTGCTGTGGCCACCCACAGATGATGTTTTCTGTGTTTTATTTTATATTGATGAAATCATTAGAGATTACTTTTGTCTTTCCCCACTTGTGCTGTTTGTAAACACTCAGCTTTATCTCTCTCTTCAATGCAGGGTCTTTAAAGTAGCATACTAGCATGTCAAACAAGGATACAATTTGGCCTGCAAACTGCTTTTTCACTGAGCTGAAAGAGGAGTGCTGGTTTGGGGAACAGCTTTCTGAACCAGCATCCTCTTGTCATTTCCTCCCAAGCAATTGGGCTGTAGCACAGGTTGCAAACAGCTTTAATCTCAGAATGGCCATTGATGGTTTTGTCAGTCATTGCAGACAAAAGAGTTGAGGGAGATCTCCCATTTGTGATGTACTTCTCACCTCAGAAGTAGCTTCCTGAATGGGGAAGAGGGTTCTTCCTTTCCAAGAGCTCACAATGTGCCTCCTGTCATTATGTTTGGGTCAAAATTGCTCTGCTCCTGCATTTTCTGTAAGCTTAGAAATGAGGAGCTTCAGCTTAAGACTCTAGGGCAATACATTATTAATGTCAATCTGAGTTAAGATATTCAGGCAAACAGTTGTTACTAGACATATAATTAATCCTTTTAACAGTTGAGGTGAAAATATTTTTCTTAAGCAGCCTTTAAGTTTGTGCACATTTTTCTTAATACTCAGTGACCTTATGCCAGCTTGCTGAGGAGTAAGTCAGAGAATACAAAGGCCTAGTTAAACTTTAAAGAAGCATATAAAAAGGCTTCAGAAGAAATTTTATAAGACTACCTCCAATAAAAAGTAACCTAGAAGTGTGAATTTGTTTACTTTAGCACATAGTTACTGTTTTTCCAAAGTCAATATCCTTCTTGACATTGTTGACTAAGATTGGAAACACACGATCACTTGGTTGCAGTTAGTGTCTGTCTGACTAATAAAACATATACTCTGTTGATTGTTCTATATGTATGTGAAAGTTTCATCTTAGAAGACAATATGAACAAAAACCAGAGTAAAATATCCCATTTTAAACAAATCCTGTTCATATTGCAAATAAAAAGAGTTGCCCTGTAAGCTGTAATGTATGTGTCACACTCAAATTGATGTCTGCCACAAATGACAATAACTGAAATACCTACAGCAGCATTTAGTTTAGGTTTGGGTTTTTTGGTTGTTTTTTTTTTAAAATGAAGTATCATTTTGAAAAGTATTTAAGGTATTTAGGAGCATTTGCCATGTTTAGGCTTTAAAACAAAAATCCCCAAACTCCATGTGCTTCTGTCCCCTTCCCTGTTCTGCAGTCTTTGTTCAAAAGTCAAGCTAGAATTATCTGATTACTCTTCTTATCACATGCAAAGGAAGCTGGACTCTTCAGAAGAAAAAAGAATCACAGGCATAGTCAAGTGATTCAAAAGGTATATGAGTAAGAGAGCAATATGTTAGAGATAATTTAAAGCAAGTCCTATAAAATGTTACTTTCAATTGAGACATTTTTACTAAACACAGGACCATGTTGAATGTGTTACATATAATGGGATCTATTGAAACCCTTGTTAAAAACACCCTTGAAAACTACCTCTGAACATTATAACATAAAAGTATGCTGTTTTCTCCTCTCCTTTACTCCCTCTGTCTGTGCTCCTTTATGCTCTTGCTATTGTACTATAACTCTTTAGTATTCCATATCTGTCCTCGTGTAGCACCAGCTAGTCCTCTTAAATCTCCCTACAAGCCTTCCCCCACCCGAAGCACTGACAGGAAGAAGGCAACTTCACCCTCCACTTCCAATGCCATGAAAGGGGCACCTGCAGCTGAAGTTACTCAGGTGGGTTTATAGTGGGTTTAATTTCACTTCTGGGTGAACTGATGTGGCTTTCCCTTTACATGAACACAAAGTGCTACCCCTGCTGTAAGAAACAGCAGGAAGAAAGGAAGCCTTGCATACGTCTGTTGCTTTCGTGCTCCTGTTAAGCAGCATTTTAATATCTTCCTCCTGAGAATCAGTGTTGATCACTGTTATTTGGAGCAGCAACATCTTCGTTTTCAGGGAACTGAGGCATTGACGTGTATGTTTTTGGACTTGCTTGTAACTTCTGGGAATGGGGATGAGAAATAGGATCTTCTCACCAACTATGACTTTCCAGGCTTGCTGGCTAATTAGCAAGCTTCACATATTTCAGAAAATTGCCAACTGTATTGACAGTGCCTGTGTTTTACACCAACTGCTTAACTCTTTTTGTGGATATTTTTAGTGCTGTGTGCTTAAAAATGCATTATTGATCCACTCTAGTTTCCAGAGAAGGAAAAGCAAGTGATTCACCTTCACTGAGTCTACACAGCACAAAACATGTTTTAAATCTGTGGGAGGGCTGTGAAATCCACATAAGGTCCTGTGTCTTGTAATAGTTCATAGTAGGGGAATTTGTGCCATATAAATTAGATGCAAGTGAAAGGACCAAAGCTGGGAGGAAAGATTTGTGTAGTTGTCAGTCTTAGGTATGATTCACAGTGCTACATCAGCAGCATTTCTGTCAGGTGCCTGGCTGCAGTACTGATCATGTCTAAGAGGTGTTGCAAGGGCATGTAGATGATTTTGGAGACTCTGCCCAGTGCCACCACCCCTCCCAAGAACTCTTGTAGGGACCCTGATGTGGTGTTACTTACTGCAGCTTGTGTGCTATGTCCATGCAAAACATAGGGGTGGGTGTGTTATGTCTGTGTGAAATAAAAAAACCTAATGGAATCTCAGTCGTGAGCTGCTGTTTAAAATACTTTTAAATATATGTTACACAAATCTGTTTACATGCCATTTGTTGATAAAGCAATCAAATACACTATTTGAGTTATTGATTCTAATTATGGAAACAAAAATGAACTGTGTTTCTAGACTGAGAAGATAAAGAAAGAGAAGCGACCTGCAACACCTGGTTCATCATCTGGTATGGGATCTCCTCTAAGAAGGTCTGATTCTCCTGCTGCCATGTCCAGAAGATCTGCATCACCTGCAACACCTAAGTATGCCTTTCTTATTAGTGGGCTAATATGCTGTGAACCTCTCATTACCTACAAATAAGACAGAGGTTCTCAAGGAATTCCTTTGAAGTGTTGTATAAAATGTAGTTAATTTTAGTTCCACATAAACTCATATACAGATGGGAGGGAGACAGAGATATGTAGATGAACAAATATAATATATGTAAGATCATGTTAGTGCTCACTAGAGACATTTCTCTACCTTTTCTTAGTCTTCTGAGATTACGGTGCATTTCATAATTTAAGTGAAATTTTACTTAACAGTTACTTTTAATTATGCTTTTGTTTTATTTGATTTTGAAGAAACTGCCTAATATGCAGAAATGCACACAACATGAATACTAACTAAAAATCTCAGCACCTGATAATGCATTTCCTGTCGTTGGCATGGCCACCTGGTTCCATAAATATACTTAACTATATGTCATCTTAACCATCATTTGCTCATTTGCAGACCTCTTTTCTTTTCTTTTACTACAGAGCTGTGGACCTATAGCATATCTGGGCTTAGTGGCAATTGAGTTGCTTTTCTTGGCTGCCTTTTGCTCAAAACTGTAGTCTGTGTACCACGTCTTACAGCTCAGCTCTAAGCAAATGTGTCTTTGTGTTTCTTAGAACAGAATATTAAGTCTGGATCAAATGTAGAAGGATCGTAAAGTAGTCATGGTCTGCAGTAATTGTCTGATTTTGTTGATTGGTTGATTGGTTTGGGTTTTTCCCCTTAGACCCTGTTCATGGGTCCCATTTCTGTATGAAAATTACTTCCTTTTGCCCGATTTTATTTACTTAGCACTTTTTAATCTGATGCTGGCCACATTCTGAACCAGTCTTGGTGATGATCCCCTTTCTGGAAAATTACTTCCACCTCAAAAACTAGCTGGTGTTCCTTTTCTGTTTCAGCTCGGAGGGCATAGCCCTGTAATGGTATATGATTTTGTGTGAATCTGGTTTTGGACAACGTACAGGAGACCATCCAGCTCTGGGCATTCTCTCTGTTTTAGACATCCCCTTGCATGTAACTGGGACACTGCAATTCTTGCTTCATATTATAGGGCTACAAATTATCAAATCTACAATATTATATATATACTGTCATCAGATTCTGAACTACATACATTTTGTAAAAAATGGAATTATATGAAATGTTAGTGACAATCAGCTTTTTTTATTATGGTTTTGAGCAGATCATTGTCTGGTGGACTCCAAAATATACAGGAAAAAAAGTTCTAGCTATAAAAATGTGTATTATTCCATAAGTACTGATAGTCCCTGCTCAGAATGCATCTTTTAATTCTTTCAGCCACTATAAGAGACATACCAAGAGATGCATTTAGTTACGCAAAATGATTGGTGGGAAATGTCAAGTGCTTCTTGTTGGGCAGACATTGAACAGGTTGGAGTAGACCATCATAGAGACATCTGGGGATAAAAAGACAAAGCTTTTGTGAAGCAGATGTTTAGTGCTTCATGAAAAAAGTATGCTCAGTCTTAATTTGTTTTCTTAATTTGATTTCCATAAAAGGTTAGGCTAAGATGCAGAATTTTTTCCCAGAGGTGCAAATTACAAGAACCTTTTTACAGTAAAATGTTTTCATGCCTATGAGGAATATTGGAATACCAGGAATACTGTTTTTAGAGGAGGAAACAGATGCTACACTAAGAAGCCTATTGATGGGTTGGTCTGTGATTGTGAGTCACAGTAGTGATCTTTTTTTTCCTCCCTCCTTCTCTTTCTCAAGAGAATCTGTTTCTGACCACTGCTAGAAATACATTACCAAGCATTTAATCTTAATGTGGCCCAATTAGAACATCCTCCTTGACCTTATGAGAATTTTAAATCCATGTTTCTTACTGATTGCAGACAGACAGTTCTGCTTTAGCACTTTGTAAACTTCCCTAATCATTTTAAAATGAAAAAGGTGTCCTGATCACCATATTGAATTATTATATAAGCATAACTAATAATAATATAATATGTACATTTATTCATACAAGTTTCAACTTAACAAATTTCCACAGTTAATTTTCAATAAAAAGGTAAGATTAGACAATCTGAAGGAAGGTTCCCAAAGCCTTATTGCCTATATTGAAACCCACTTACCAGCAAGATCATTATCTGGCATTTAAGTGTAATTTTCATCTGACTAAATATGTTTGCAAATACTCATTCTCTTTGCAAGCCTAACAATCTTTTACAAGTTTAACTTTTCTCCTTCCAGCACACTATATGGCCAAAAAATACCCTGGAAGAAATAAGAATACGTATTGTACAGCATTACTAGTTAGTGATCCTGCATAGCACCTTAACTTTGAAAGCTGTTGAGAAAAGAATCAAGTGTGGCCAGTGATTTACATGACAATGAGCTGTATGAATTTCTATTCTTAAAAGCATGTGACTTGACATTCAGGTTTTCTTGGTATTGTTCTAGTTACTAGTTCTTCATAGTTGTCATCTTGGTTTCTGAGTGGCAGTTGCTTGTCTTCTTTATATATTATTTCATTATTTATTAACTAAAAAGTTCTTTTTATCATGGTAAAGTAACTGAAACAGGATCAAAGAAGACAATAAACCTTCAGTCTAAAGTGATTGTTGGAAGAACAGAGTTGCAGTAATTACATTAATAAAATATTAATGTTTGTGCAAACTTTACTGAGAAAGCAAAAAAGGTCAGCCCAAGAACATAACATCCAAGAGAAAATGAGTGAACAGACATGAATATAAAAAAGAGAAAAGGTGAAAAAAAGTTATTTTGAGCAACAATTAAAAGCAAGAAAGGAGTTAAACACTTTAAGATATTTGAAAAAGTAAATACATCAAGAAATGTCACAAGAAAGAAATCCAAAACTATTGCTTTGAATCTAATGTGGATCAGTTGACAGAAATGAAAGTTAATTGATTAGAGAGTTGGAATAATTGATAAATTATGTTTAATTTTTTCAATTACTATTGGATACTGATTGTGTAAAGTGCTCCTTTTCTTCAGATCTCTCACAAGATCAATAATACCAGGGGTTTTGGTAAGGTTTTTTTTAATGCTTCATCTTCGAAGATCTATAAATTAATTGGTTTATTCTTGCAGTATCCCTCAGAGAATAACTAAGTGTCCTTTCTTATAGATCGGGAAGGCAATAAAGCCTGTGTCCTTCACTTGTCTTTGGGTAAATAGTCCCTGTGAAATCAATGGCACCTGACTGAATCAAGGAAGTAGGATTTAGTTTTAAGTGTCTTCAGATAAATCATAGTATAAGGCAGTGAATAAAAATGGAAAGCCCTGACAAGCCTCTGTCACATTCATTTGCCTAAGAATTACCTCATATGAGAAGGAGAAAGGGGCAAGGGAGCAGGGAAAAGTGACTACAGTGCTGCTGGTAGGTGGTGGTTTGTGTTTTGTTTCCAGTTCCCAGACTGTGTCATTCTTTGCTCATTGTTTCACTAATTGAACCTCCTAATTCACTGGTTCTTTTGCGCAACAGCTCACATTGGGTCACACTTTTGACCTCAGACATGCATATACTCGATCAAATTGCCAGATACTGATGGAATATGAACATAGAGTAGTAAAAAAAAACAAACCCCAAAAGTTGTAAAATTTAAAAAAATGAATTATTAGAAATGTGTCTGCATGTGGAGAATTTCCCACAGAAGTAAATTCTATGTCCTACAGTGACCTAGTTTTAGATTTTATTTCATATGTGCTACATTTAGAACTCTTGATCTTTGTTTTGACTTGGATAGGTAAAACCAATGGGTAGAATGTTGGATCGAGACTATTTTGAGGTTTTTTTTCAGCAGTTAGCTAGATAATGGGCCAGTTCAGGATTTTGAAATATCTGTAATAATGCAGCTATCAAAATAACTATTCTATAGACCTATGCTGAGTTTGTGCTCTTTTAAGAAATGGAAAAGAGAAATGAATCCGTCTCTGCCTAGAAATGATCAAAACTAAGAGGGAAAGAAAGCTGCTTTTGAGAAAATATCACAGATAGCAGAGCAAAGCTGTCAGAACCCAGGAACAGCTTGTGATGAGAGCAGTGTCAGAACACAGGCTTGAGAACACACAAGTCCTCTGTGTGGCTTCAGCAGAGCTTTTGTTGAATTAATGGGGAGTTAGGGGAAAAAATAATGCAGCCTTGGCATGGCTGCAAATTTCTAATTTACAGTCAGCCTTCTGAGCAGCCCTAACCAGAGACCTGTCACGTACCTGGCTTTTCAAGAACTCATTCTGTTCTCTCCCTTGCTGTTTATGGCCAGAATTGGATATAACCTCTGATTCATGTGCCACATGTACTTCATTTTCTCGGCTTAGCAGAAGTAAGCTCAGAACTCCTCTTGTGCTCTTCCAGGGACATTCTTCTGCAGTATGGGCTATCCCTTTCAGAATTCAATAAGAGCCATTGTTATTCAAGGATCAGTGGCTCCTCACACCTGATAGAGGTTCTAGCAGTGCATGTAAGGGTCATCTTCTTACATGCTGCTCCCCCCATGTCAACACAGGGCAGTTAGGTGAGAAAACTGATACCTTCTTGGTACTTCTGTATTCCCCTGTAAAATCTAGTGACTGAGAGGAGTGAGCTATCAGATAGCTAACATGCTAACACTTCTTGGATTTTAGGGATTTATTATCTTAATTCTCCAGTCCTCATCGGGCACAGTTCTGTGTTCCCACATCCTTGCCATGGTTTCATTACATCCCTTTTCTCCCAGGGCAAAACTAAAACTCCTATATGAGTGTTTGTACATTATTTTCTTAATAATCCCGTTTTTTCTGTCTTCACAGTCAAGTTTGGTGCATTCTGGTGTAAGGCAGCATAACTTAAATACTATTTACTTTCCATTAACAATTCTGCCTGTGTCTGGGAACATTAGGGATGGTACTAAGTTGACAATATGTTTTAAATACAAGGGTGAAAGCAATGCTGATTTAATCCTTTTTATAGGCATCCAATAAATGCTGAAAAAATGCTAAAAAAATATTCCCAATGGACTTTGTCAGCTTTTTATTCTTCACACTGCACTGCTGTCATCCTTGCAGCAATCAGTCTCTTACATGCTTCTCGCTTTTAGTTGCTTTAAAAGAAGCAAAGTCATACTTGTTCTTCTGGCCCAAGAGCTGCAAGAAATAATTACTGTAGGTCTAAAAGTTCAAAGATGCGTTACTTAAATAAAACACTCAATACATATTTCTAGTCCAGCAGCTAAGTCATACAGCCAGTCTGCTCTAATGCCTAATTCAGTGCAAGGTATATAGCTCTCATGACTAGACTCCTTTCTACTAACCTCTTTAATTTGATTGTCATGTCTTTATTGGAGAACAATTACTTCAGTACTAATACAGAAAATGACTCAGCCTTAGTTATTAGTCTGTTTTGCTCCTCCTGTCACAACAAGTTAAATAAAAAGCATTGCAAGGAACTTGTGGTAAAGTTGGGAACGTAAACCAAAGACAGCAAGAAGGAGCTGTGCTTTGAAGAAGTGTCTAATTAGCTATAAACATCCTTTGTGCTGCAGAGAAACATAAATGTTTTTTGCTTTTTATTTCCTTTGAAGAAGTGTCTAATTAGCAAGAAACATCCTTTGTGCTGCAGATAAACATAAATGTTTTTTGCTTTTTATTTACCAGATACATTTTTTATGAAATGCAGTTGGAAATTACTGTAATGATGAGGCATGTGTGAGATGGGGCCTTGAAATCTCTGCCTTTGCCTTCAGAAGGGCCTGGGAATCTATCCATATCCTACAGACAAATCTAAAGACAATGCTAGAAACAGATTAGTTCAACACCAACTAATCTCACTGGCTTCTCCCACTGCTGTTTTTCTCAAGAGCTGGAAACAGACTTGCCTGTTCACATCTGCCAAAGCCTGTTTCTGTCGTGGAGCAGCAGGAGTAGGGGGTGGCAGCAGGGCAGGCAAGGATAGGGACATCACCCACAGCACTCCATCCCATAGCAAACAAAAGAAGTGACCAGGGTGGGTCTGGTGATAGTGACCAAGGTCAACCAAGCATCCAGTAATAGCCAACAAAGGCCCTTCTGAGGCAAGTCCAAGGATGAGCCAGGACATCACATCAGGATCAGCAGGTTAGGAAGCCAAGAAGAACAGGCTTACTTACTGCTTAGCTCAGGCAAGGACCAAGGGCAAGGACTTGAGCCAACAAGGAGCTCCTGGGCCCACAGGCAGAGGGTACCTGAGCTGAACTTTTAATTTAGTTGGTTGCTACTGTTCCTAGAGCCCAAGGGCTTTTGGAGTCTGTGATGGCTCTTCAGTGGGAGTAGGAAATTACAGGTGGTGCAGTACTCTGCGGTGTTTTCCTCTCCACGAACCAGTCAGCTCTGAATGAGCTCCCTGTGTTCTAGTGTATCAACCTCTTTCAAATGCAGCATAATATGGTGGGAAAGAACCCTTTCTTCTACTGAATTCATGAGTTTGTGGGGGGAGTTGAAAGATGTCTAATTTTTATTGTCTGCTCTGTAATGCAAATGCTGTTCCAGTTATAATAGTTTCTGACCACACAATGCTATAGTTAGATCTATATAGAACTTGCCACTACAGCCCATTAATTTTCAGCCATTATCCATGTTTTTCTTGCTTGTGGTCTGCCAGGAGGAGTGTATAGTCCAGAAAACATATATGAACATATATAAAAGTCTATATTGTGTAGATGAATTGTGTAGATGTAAATTGCATATTCATAAAGAAGGTGAAAACTACATGTGTAATGTCCATGTTAATGCAGGATTATTTATTCTAATGGGACTCACAGAAATCATTACTTTAAGATTGTAATCTCTCTATTCTCATACTACTTAGTCACACAGCTCAGCCTTTTTGAATATTACCAATATTTATTGCTAGTTACTGGTGTTACATAAATAACGCATTGTGTTTGTGTGTGGTTTTGTTTCCTGCAATCTGTTCTCTTTAATGTGCACCTATTTTCAGGGAATATCAAGTATCTTTACCCTTCTTCTTTCCTAGAATTGACTTCAGGGTTATCACTTTGCCTGAAGTGTGCAACAGCCAAATGAGCAGTGAACTGCATTGCTGCTGTGCATCATCATCACTGCAAGTGCAGCTGTGGGAAAGGTTGCAGGGGCTGAGTTTTGAGTCTTGAGACTGTTGCATTGGTGCTGAAAAAAACACTAATTGAAACAGCAGAGCTGTCCAATGGTTTGGTCAGTTCTGCCTCTTTCTGTGGCACCCATCTTCACCTTTGTATATAGTAGTATTTGGTGCTTTTTTGGAAAATCAGATACTGATAAAAAAAGACCATGTTTGGCAAGGTGGTATTCAGATGAAAGCAGCACACTGTAACTCATTATAATTCTATTCTACAGACCAGCAGCCATAGCTTTGTTATTAATGCTGAGAAGGACTGTGGAACATAGTGACGTTGACAGAATTGTTATGAAATGGTCATTACCAAAATCATTGGTTTAGGTAGTCCCTGATTTCCTGTCTATCACCTGACCTCACGTAGTATTACTGGTCTATTTAGATGAGAATTTTCTGTAGTCATGTGCACTTACATGCCACTTCCCTGAATTTCAAGGTCTGATTGTTGCATCCAGCTGGTTCTTAAAACAACTGATGCTCCTATGTCGCCAGAGACAAGAAAGAAGAACAATATATGTGAGATGGAGTTTGATTCCAAGCATTGTAACATATGGCCTGTTTTCATTTTTGTTTTCCCTCATCAGGACAGCTGCAAAGACTTATCCTCAGTCTCCTAAAAACACCAAACAGTATCCAGCTTCTCCTGTGAAGCATCGTGCCACTTCTAATCTCAACCAGGAAACTCCTAAAAAGAAAGCAGACAAGGAGAAAGAAAATGTCAGTCAACAAAAGTCCCCAGGAGCACGCACTGATGAGGCAGGCCAGGTGGCTCCTGAGAAGCATGTGCCTTCTGTTGGAAAGACTGAGAATAGTGAAGGTGAGCATTACTGCAAGAACGTACTGCAAGATATCATGGGTCACTAAGACTTATAGACAGTGATGAGTTGTTCTTTTCATGAAGCTGCTCAGTCATAGGCTTTTGAGAATGTGTAAGGATACATATTGGAACCTGTAAATGTATATTCTTCACTAATATGCCAAACCTGCTTGTTAATGAGGATGTGAAAATGCTGAAATCCAGGGATGCCCTTACCTATTCCATACCCTATCTGCTGAAAATGCTGAGGTGTGCTTTTAAAAAGGTGTCTTACCAGTGTGAACCAGGCCCATTTCAGTCTGGAATTGCTGGGCAATCTCTTTGTTCCCTGCCTAACTTCCCACCTTTGGTTATCAACTCCTAGGGAAGATCACAGCAGGAACAACTGATGCAGAAGAAGCCTCAAAGATTCTAGCTGAGAAAAGGCGACAGGCTCGCCTGCAAAAGGAACAAGAAGAAAGGGAAAGACAGGAAAGAGAAGAACGGGAGAGGTATCTCTATTGATTTGTGAAACTTACTACCTAATAATTTAACCTGTATCATTGAAGATACTTGAAACTGTGGTAGTTTCTTTTATCTCAGTCTTGTGTTTCATTAGTGTCTTTTGCAGTCTCTGTGACTAACAAAGCTAGAAAATAATAATTTGGCCTCTTTAAGAAGCCTGAATAAACTATTACTTATCTAAATACTTCAGGGATGTCCACACTGCAATGTATTGCACATCATTAACTCTGCATGTCTGGATTCAGCTTTGTTTTTTCTTAGAAAAAACATGGTGGTGGAATCACCAGTTCTTGCCAGTTTGGCCCTGAACCCCTGGTAGAATGATAAGAATGTTCATTTGGCAGAGCAACTCTTGCCTCTTTGTTGTATCATGGCACCTTTCATGAAACTGTGTGCTGATGCATATGTTATCAGTTCCTGCTGTACATACAATAGGATTCATGCTAAACAAGATGATGAAGCTTTTTAAACACTGTTTCATTTTTTGCAGGCTTGAAAGAGAAGAACAGAAAAGAAAGGCAGAAGAAGAAAGACTTCGTCTGGAAGAAGAAGCTCGTAAGAAGGAGGAGGAAAGAAAACGTGAAGAAGAAGCAGCTAGAAAAAAGGCAGAAGAGGAAGCCAGGAGAAGAGCTGAGGAAGAGCAAATGCTAAAGGAAAAGCAAGAAAAAGAGCTCCAGGCCAAACTTGAGAAACAGGTACTATCTCAAACAGAAATGTGAAACTTTGTATTCGTACATACATATACAGACATATAAATAAATAAATACTTTATAGTATTTGATAACATGCCTGAAATAAATAATGACCCTATCATATTTTGCACATTTTGATTAGAAGGAAGAAGCAGAAATGAAAGCCCGTGAGGCAGCTGAACAGCTTCGGCTTGAAAGGGAACAAATCATGCAGCAAATTGAGCAAGAAAGACTGGAGCGGAAGAAGGTAGATATTTGCATGTCAAGATAATTATTTACTTTCTTGTTTAAATACATAACCCAGGAGGTACCCAACAGTACCTGCTCATACTAATCTGGAGGGATTACAGATGGATGTGTATGCCTAATTTAGTATTTGCTACTTGCATGTTAGAGGAGCATGGGCATCGAAATTTGTAACAAAGTAGAATTGCCTGAGGCAAATGACTTTTTACTCTGCACTGAGCAAACACAGATTCAGCCTCCACCTGAAAAGTTCCTGAGGCAAACAGGGAATGACATGCCAAGGCAAATGTCTATTGCCACCCAACCCAGGACATCACAGACTACTGAGGAATATGAGTGACTTTGTTTAAAACTTACTCAGCAAGAGCTCTGTGTCATCAATTGAGAAAGTTTGTGATTAACAAACGACTTTTCTCCCACCTGGCTTGTCTCTGGTTGTGTTAAGCAGAGGCAGCAGTACTGTCTGGCCACTGCCACACCAGAAATGGCTGCAGCTGCATAAATTAGCTTTGTCTACAGCTTTGTGGCAGGAAAGAGAGAACAGCTCTAGAATCTCTGTCAGGTACAAAGGGTCACCTATCCATACATGTTACTCCAATATGTTTTTAAGTGTTTACCACTGAACTGGAGACATGTTACAGTTGCAGATTAGAATACCAAACCAAAGTCTCTTAGGTCTGAAATAGTTTCCTTTTTTAAGAATAAAGAAGGATAACAAAAGGACTGTAGGGTAATGCCTTATACATTTCCAGCAAGAGTAACTTCAGGTATTTCATTTCTCTCTTCTATTCCAAAAAGCCTAACTTGTTTTACAGGAACTATTTGGAAATAGTTGGAAAAGTAACTAGATTCAAACAGCTACTGTTGGTTTTAAAAATATGCCTTGTTCCAGAACTGAGTACAACCCATAACTGCAAACACCTGGTATTAAAATGCTTGTTTCTAAATTTCATCTACTGAGAACACCATGTTCTGGTAGGTGAAATGCAGCTCCAAGATGTTTTCTACCTTTTGTTTTCTTTATTTTTCTTAGTTGTTCTCCCTTTTTCAAGACTGTAAAGTAAAGTTTCTTTTTGTCATTTTTCTCCTTTATCAGCCTCTTGTGTTAAATATTCTGTCTGCTGTCTCATCATCCAATTTATTTTGATTTGTAGAGAATAGATGAAATAATGAAGAGAACAAGGAAGAGTGAAACACCAGAAATAAAGGTATGAAGCCGTATGTGGTTGCAGGATTTTTTTGTTTTGTTACCATATGTGGAAATGAAATTCTAGAGTAGTTTCGTGTTAGTATATTTGGGTACACTCTAGACCCAAATTTTAGTTGCATTTCAAAGTGAGAATGACTATTGCTGTGTCACAGTCATTGCTGTGTCACTGCTAGAGACACAGCTTTATGCAACTGTTGTGCTCTAGCAAAGTGGCAGCAGCCCATTCCTGGATGCTGGAGCTGTAATGTTTGCTGCTATTAATGTGTCTTTTCCTGCTTTGTACTAGTCAGTGAATTAGTAACTGAGCTCTCCTTGTTAAGCCTGTCAGGAATGTAGGGTTGAAAACAAGCCAATTGTGTCCAGCTAAGAAGTGACAGTCAGGTTTCCACATCTAATCTACTAAGGAAACTTTCTTCAGTTACCTTCAGAGAATGTTTGCTTTTTGTATTTAAAAAAATTTTAAACTGCTATGCCTAATTAAAAAGGGGGGAAAAAAATCCTGTCTTGCTGTTGCTGCCCTTTGTCACCCTGTGGCCCTGGACAGTCCTGCAAGTCTCAATACCAGTCAGTTCCATGAAGGTTACAGTCCTTCCTCTAATAAAGTTGTGTCATTACTTGATTTCAGAAGGAAGAGCCAAAACTGGAGATACCATCAACCTTGAATGTGGAAAAGCAACCAAAGGCCCTTGTGCTCAACCAGCCAGGTAAAAATTGCCATGTTTTTCTGACCTGTTTACACAGTTGGTTCTCTTCAGATTTTGTGATCTGAGGCAGAGCACTGTGTATTATCACAAGTTCTTTGCTTGTGATACATTTGTGTCAGTGACAAATGTGAGAAACTGGAGACAGCTTTGCTTTGCCACTTAAGCAGAAGCAGAAGAAAGTTTCTACTCCATTTTGAGTACCTGATGTAGCATTTTTGTAAATGAAAAGTTCCAGTCTGCCAGTAGGTTTGGTTACTGCAATCTACCTTCCAGTTTTGAAGGTAGAAAAGTTTTGCACACAGCCAAGCTTGCAAGCTTTTCATAGCATGGCTCTAAGTCTTATATTTAATTTGAATTTATAACAAAAAGCATATGTATTTAAAGTATTATTAAATAAAATGTATGTATCTGACATTTCTCGGTATTTTGTTTACTTCCCCAGGGTAAGGCTCTTAGTACATGTCATAAAAGACATGTAGTTCTCTTCCTGTTTCCTCAGATTTAAAAGATGTAGCATAAAGAGCAGGTTCGGAGTGGAAAAGAGGAATGAGTATGTTAAGATGAGTCATGGATTAAACTAAGTCCTACTGCATTGTCAGTCTTCCTTTCTACTCCATCTATAAATTAAAAGAATTTGTGCTTTTTCTTTTTTTAAAGAAGTTTCTACTGTCATAATTTCTAACTTTCTTTTACAGAGATCAATGGATTGGCAACCTGCCTGAAAAATAAAAGCTTAGAAAGTGCTGCCTCTGTAATCCCTTCCCAAGATGTAGTTGCTAATGGACTAAAGTCAGTTTCAGGACTTATTCAGCTGGAAACTGTTGATGGGAAATCTAACAGCATGGAAGATTCAACAGATGAGGTTCAGTCCATGGATGTGAGGTACAGACCATATCTGTCAATAGAGATTGTGGAATTCATATGAGACACAAAATTTTCTGTTTCATTTATTAATACTTTACTAGTTTACTTCTCACCTGCCCCACAACGTGGCAGTCAGGTGTCGACTGTGGTGTCTGTTCTTGGCAGGATGCAAGTTGGTTATTTCAGACAAGAGCCACAGAACATCCTCTCACTCTCACATATTTGGTAGGAGGTGATGTGATGTGTGTGTGTGTGGGCTCTGAAATCTTTCTGCAGTCCTGACTTAGGGGTTCCATACAGGTTTGCTCAAACCTCTCAGATAGTTTTGTGAAAGCAGCTATTGAGATACTGTTCTGCTGTCACCAGTTTTTCATTTGTCTCAAGGCTGCATAGCTGTGCTACATGAGCTTTTCTGCCTCCATACAAACAGAATAAAGAAAATGATGAATTTAGAATTTTAAGTAGTTAATAAGTAGAAATGTATGGAAATCAGTAAATAACTTTGTGTATTAAATACTCTTGGATTTTGGTGAAAGGGCATGCAGGAAAGAAGGATTTTTTTTTATTTACATATTTTTATACATAAGCAGTTAATTTAAGGCTGCTATGAGAAAGTTAGCTCTGAATTTTAAACATGGAATTTTTATACAGTTCTTCCTTATTCAGTAAGCCAAATGAACCTCATGTACTGTTTCAGCATTTCCAGTAAATATGCATAAATACATAGGAAATGCCCTACTGGGGCAGAAGTCCATGTTCATATTTGGTCTTGGAGAGTACTAATAAGAAAAACTAGTCGGGGAGAGCAGCTGAGTCCACAACAGTTTTGCCCTCAACGCACCCACCACCCCATCATGGTTTTAGTAATGTTTGTGAAACCCTCCATCTGCCTTCTCTTCTCCAGACTAAAATGCACTGGCCTTACTAGTCTCAGCAAAGTACCAGGCAGCTGCAGCATTTCTTAGATTTAATTCTGGGATTTCTATATCTGAAGTATATCATAAGGTCTTAAGAAATAACTTTTTATTTAAGATGTGAAATGTGAGTGCTTCAAGTATTGTTTGCAGGGTCGGGACGATAATTTGAAAGATGCCAAAAACATTTGGGTAAGGGAATGGTGCAGGGACTGAAATAATGAGTGATGAGTAAACTCAGTTTGATAATGTTCCAGAAATGTGGGTTTAGGAGATGAGTGCTCACATCACACAGCTACTACAAACCTTAGTCCTGAAGGCATACAGATTAGGTATGACCATCTATCCTGAACAGGGCAACCTCTTTTTCTTTGAATTAGGACATGTTCTAGGTAAAGGCTCACTGCAGCTTAAGATAAGTGGTACTTTTTGAACAGTCAGAAGTTTAGTTTGATTTTTACACACCTCTTACTCTGTATCTTCCTTTCATTTGTCTTTCATACAGCCCAGTTTCAAAAGAAGAGCTTATCTCTATCCCTGAATATTCACCCATGAATGAACTCATGCCTGGTGTTTCTTTGGACCAAAATGGGACAAGTAATGCCAAGGCTCTTGAAGACCTCTTGGATTTCACAGGCCAAGCTACCTACTCCAAGATGTCCAGTGATACCATTAGCCTAGATGACTGTAACAAAAACTTGATTGAAGGATTTAACAGTCCAGGACAGGAAAATACACTTAATTCTATCTGTTGACAGCCTTGCTTTTCAGCAGAACAGATACAGGTACAGTATTGTGATAAACATCTTAGATACCATAAATTGCTGTGATTACTTTCTAGCTTCCCCACAAAATCCAGGAGCGGCACACAGCAATGTGGAGAGAGAAAAAAAAAGCTGGTCTCCTGGATATTTAAATTCAGCATAATCTTTCATATTTGCAGCACTGTAATTTGGCATCATATGCAGACTGAGTGTATCATAGCAACCACAAGCATCTGGTAAATGGAAGCATTTCCTTTGTGCATTGAGAATATAGTGAGGAGAGTTGTGGTTTTTTTCCTATATATCTTTGGAACCTGTTAGCATGAAGAAAACAGGTAAAAGTGGGACCAGTCTAGAAAGTGGTGTTGTGGCTGCTTACTCTTTGCTGCTGCTGTAAGAACTTGCAGCATGGTGTAGAGTCACATGCCCCAAAATGCTGGCATGGTAAAAACCATAGTAGGCTTCAGACAGTTTCGAAGTACAATGCTACAGTCAATTCTTTTGAAGGAGTATATTCTAAATTACAAAACTGAGGTCATCTGACTTGCATAGCTGACTTGATATTTTTCTCTCTCTTTTTAATTGACAGAGGTAACAATTTGTGGAGGATATATATCCCTGTGATGCTACTGGCATTAAAATATGAGCTTGTCACTTGAAAAAGCTTCTGCAGTCCTTGAACACTGGATTTTCAATAATCAGAGCTGAATATAACCTGTCTTCCCAGGGAATATGTTGAATAACTGACTGCTTTTGGTAGAAACCAATGATCTAGAGCCTTGATGCTTTCAGGGAAGATGGAGTGTGCATTAGAATTTGAGCTTTAGCTGCTAATAAAGCACTTAATTCTTCTTTTAATTTAAAATTCATCTCAACACTTCACTGTGATTTTTACCTGTGCATTTGATTTTGAAATAATTATTCCCTAAGCTTTATCACACATCATTAAGACATCTTTTTCTTGTAAATAATGATGGGGTTTGCCTACAGTGCATTGAAACAAAATAATATACTGTACTTTAGTTTTGTGCCTATCTTTTTTTGTCTTTAATAAGAAGTTACTGGCAACTCTTTTGAGGTGTATAATTCAAAACTGTAGCTGAAAAGGCTTGAAAAAAATGTACAACTGCTGGAATCAAAAGAGCCTTTTTGTTGACTGTGGAGTGTGGGAACTATCCCGTTATGGTTATGTCGACACTTTTAGTCACTAGTGGCACTTACTGGTTAATATTAATTAGTCTGGGAGCAACTATCAACTATGTGTTTAAAAACATTTTGTGTAACACCTGTAAGCAAAGTAGGCAAAATGCCTAATGTAATCCCTTAATATAGATATAGTATAGCTGTAGTAGATCCAAGTGTGAGTGGTCAGGAGGATGAGAGAACCTGTTAACCTGTGAAGATGCAGACACTTGATTGATACCACCAGGCTTTCTATCACATGGAGAACTATTTTGTCTTCCTGCAGGCTCAACAAAATGAGATTTAGTCAGCAGCAAAACAATATGTGAATGTTGCAGCAGAAACACAAAGGCTGAGACACAGGCAGGAAACACCAGGGACCCCTTAACATGCTGTCAGCATCTTATGGAACAGTCCACATCAAGATGTACAAGGTCTGCACATCGTGTGCCATACATTGTTAGCTTTATTTCTTTTGGTGAACCTTTAATGCTAGATCAGGTGCTGCTTTGAGGACACTTTTGTCCAATTCCTCATAACAGTAAATTATAAATACAACTCTCTTTGGACACTAACACAAAAGAAGCGAAAATTTGTGGGGATGTGGGGTTTTTTGCTTCATTTTTGGTTGTTTATTTGTTTGGGGGTTTTGGGGTTTTTTCCACATGTAAGGGAGTTCACAGTGTAGACTGAACTCAGTTGTAGCACCATTCTTGTGCTCTTTAAGGTCAGCAGTGGGAAAGTAACCAATGATATTCTGTGCAATGCATAAAGAAATCATACCTATGACAACCCAGCTCTATTTATGTTTGTGTACTTCAAAGAACTACTTTCTTTTGACTGTGCAGTAAGCTGTAGCATGGTACTGTGTCTTCCAAATTAGTCCTTCATCTGTTTCCTAAAAAATGAACAAACAGAAACAGTTTGTTTTGCTGTAATACATTGTGTTTGACAAATGTCATATTCTATTTTATTACAGTGTCATTGTATAACCTGTAGATTTCTGTATTTGCATGACCTGTATAGCATGTAAAAAGGTGAAATACATTTTCATTTATGAATCTGACTTGTTTCTTAGCACTTTTTATTCCCAGCAAAAATATGACTAATTTTAAAAATGCCTGTATGCTAATTAGTTCTCAGGTATTTTCTGAAGGAGAGTGTAATGTTCAATGAAGGAGTCAGAACCTCAAAATATTTAATCATTTTTCCTGTTGCCATATATGAGAGAATCTGCTTTCATTCTGAAATACATTCATACTTTGCATGGTGGCAGTTTATCTCATTCATATTGAGTCTTGAAACATTCAAATTGTTTGGCCACTCGATTACTTATTAACATTAAAGGAAGCAAGGTAAGTGAGTATTTGTACAGTAAGTTTGCATATTTACCTTTGTATTTGCATTCAAATGTAACTTTACAAATTTGGCTGGATATCTAGAGCAAGTACTGTTAGCTGTGAGGGGTTAAATTCATACAATCTCTTCAGAATCCATACACCTAAAAATAACAGAAAGCTGAAAGTATTCAGATGCATCTTTGTCATTTCTGTTAGGGACAATAATACCAGTCCAGAACACCATGAGCCACAAAGTTCATCTCTCCCCCACTTTTTTTCCCATCATTTATCTTACCTTTATGATCTCTTACAGCTGAAGATTAGGTGAATCTCTTCACTCCATTAGCCAGCTAATAAGTCTGTTGAAGCTACATGTGAAGTGTAAAAGCCCTTACAGCAGGCAGAACCACTAAGAGAAAGGATGTTTAAGCTTTTAAAATAATTATGTAAAATATAACAAAATGGTTTCTTGACCACGTGAATAATTTTAGACACTTGTTTTCCTCCCAGTTGCCTTGTTTGTTCTCTAGCTTGTGTATGTTTTATAGCACTTCTAATGATTCAAGACTGAGGTAGTAATGTCTGTTGAACTAGTGGGTTTGATGATTACCTGAGGCCTGCAATTTTCAGGATCAAAATAAATGCTCTGGAAGCTAGTGCTGTGTTCACTTTGGGAGCTGCACAAAGATAGATGTGTATCCTTGCTGAAATCAAGCCTTAATGACTCCCAGAGGAAAACCAAGTATGATGCAGGAGAGATCCAACAAATAGAAGGAAATGGTAAGCAAGTTGTTCTGTGCTCTATGAAGTTCTTGCTCTAAGAAAAAGTTTTTAAAATAATTACATGAATAGCTCAAACCAGCAGATTTTCATTATCACATCTTCCAGCTGGGCCTGAAAGCAACAACTTGAAGTGAATGGCAGTTGTAGGTGATTGACATTGTACAGGGATGGACTCAAGAACATAAAATTGCCTACCAAGGAAAAAATGAATGGGTGTGATAGCTACTCAGCATCAGGGAAATCACTGTATTTCCTCTTTTTTTTTTTTTTTTCTAGAAATAACAGCCCTCCTCCCCAAATTCAGTACATGAATAGCACAGTAAGCAGGATCAGGGCAATATCTGTAACACTATATTAACACGTTCACACATCCCTTTTCAGAGTAAATTCTCTCTCCTAAAATACAGATGGCAGCATTGTCTGAAATATTATTAGAACCTTAAATATGCAGAGCTGTGGGGCTTTATCCTAATAAATTCTAGGGAGTTGCTCCTAATTTTCCTGGTGTGAGGTGTCAGTCAGGAACTGTTTTCACTCCTTCCTTTTTTTTCTTTTCTTAAACCTCTTATCAGTTCAGATACACAAATCCAAGAGGATACAAATTCTGGCAGTTGCCTGCTGGAATGGTTTTGTTCTTTCAGTTCCTGGACAAAGACACATGGAGAAACTTCTGTTTCTCTGCCAGTCCAAGGAGTCTTTTGGAAGCTGAATATGTGCAGCAGTGTGTGTGGGACAGCAGTGAAGCCCCACTGTCCTGGTCAGACATGGCTAAAATTTCCCCAGCTGAAGACTGGGTCAGATGTTCTTCGCCTTTGGCAAGCAACTTTTGTATTTCTAACCTCTATTTTAACAAGGTTAATTTATGCTGATGTTCTTGGGCCAGTGTTGGTTTCCTAGGGCAGAAAGTGTCCTGTAGCAAATGAAGCTGCTGGTGGATTTAGCAAATGAGCTGATGAATGGGCAAAGGTCACAGTCACTGAAGAATGCTAAGATACTTTGCATGTATTTATTACCACATGATTACTATTACTGTTCCAAGGACAAATCAGTATCATTCCTGCCCACAATGCCATCTCGAGCTGGATGGACATTTTGAAATTTTATTTCTCCTCAGACTTCTCATCACAGAGTCATAGAGTGCTAAGGGTTGGAAGGGACCTTAAAGATTAAGCAACCCCTGCTGTCAAGGGCAGGGAAACCTTCCACTAGAGCAGGTTGCTCAAGGCCTTATCCAGCCTGGCTTTGAACACCTCCAAGGGGTTTGGGCATCTACAGCCTCCCTAGGCAACCTGTGCCAGTGTCTCACCACCCTTACAGTAAAGAATTGCTTCCTAATATCTAGCCTAAATTTGCCTTCTGAGCTTGTACCCATTATTCCTTGTCCTATCACTGCAGTTCCTGATGAAGAGTCCCTCTCTGGCTTCCTTGTACCCCCTTCAGATACTGGAAGGCTGCTATGAGGTCCCCACACAACCTTCTCTGCTCTGGGCTGAACAGCCCCAACCTTCTCAGCCTGTCTTCACAGGGGACATGCTCCATCCTGCTGTTTCATGGCAATGTCTCCTCCTGTCATCTTTTGAACATCTAGCTCTTGCACAGGCAAAGAAATGCAGCCTTTGTTGTGCCTCTGCCTTTCTCCTCAAACTCATCTTCTGTGGCCTCTTGGTGATAAGCTCAAAGCCTTTGCTTTTAAAATCCTGTTACTGTATTTATGTCACACATTGGTGTTAATTCATACACTGAGATTGTTTTTGCTGGTACTTTGCCAAAATCCTACCAAGTTTACATGGGCTGTATGCCTAGCAGCAATGGTGCATTTTCACATGCCATTACAGGGAAGTCATGATAACCTTATAAATAAAACATAGGGCACCATTACGTCATGAGAACCCATGCTCGCTAGAGGCTCTCTTTGAAGAGTAATTTGGTGAATCTGTCAGAGCCAAATCATGTAGTCAGTCATCCTCTCACATTGCCTTGGGTTTTAATTAAACAATTACTTTTCAGCTTTCCTTAAATTTCAAGGCTAAATAATGTAGGACTTATTTCCTTAGTTAAGGAGGGAATTGTTGTCTGTTGCTTTGAGCCTAGACTGAAAAAAATACCACAGGACACAGAAAGCTGTCAAAGAAAGTTCTTACAACTGAATTTGTTTGGGTTATTTTTGGCTTTGTTCTGGAACAAATTCTTGCCTTGTCTGGATAAGGCATTGCAGATTTGAAGTTACTTGGACAAGTAATCTCAGGAATTGACCTAAACACCAGTATATCGTTTTCTGTAAAATGAGAAAAAGAGCTGGCACTTCTTTGCTGGGGACTTAGAGGTTTAGCTAATTTTGATCCACTGAGTGATAGATATATTTTTATTATCATTGAAAGAAGCAAATGAGCAGCATGAGTGCAAAGAATCAGGCAGCTCTCTTTCAAGGCAGGAGACACACTTTGTGGTTTGGCAGCAGTATTTGATAAAACAATGCCTGGTTGCACTGAGGAGTAGGGGCGTGTGAGAGGCAGCAGGAGAAAGCATAAATGTGAAACTCCTCCAAACGCAGAGACCCAAGTTAATGAAGCCATGCAAATCTTACCAGGAGACACAACAAGATAGTGAAGTACAAACCAAACATTTCACCTTAGCTAAGGGAGGTTGGCTGGTAAAACCATGATTACCCTAGGACAGCAGTTCTTGAGGGTGGATCATGCCTTTGCTGGTGTTAACTCCACCAGACCCTCCCTTGCTGCTCCAGCATGTTTTTTCCCTTTTTGGTATCACCATGTAAGGCTCTGTTTGCAGGCACCAAAGTGAATTGGTTATGATA